CGTTTACTTATCGTACTAACTAAACGTAACGACGACTAGTTTAGTTTACTTTCTTTGTTCGTTGGTCGACGACGATTATTTATTGGTTCGTTCTCTCTCCCCCCCCCCCCCCCCCCCTTCCCTTTTTTTAATTATTGTGAGAGTGACTTAGAACATCTGTTTTTATCTTATTGCAACCCAACAGGACTATAATTCTACGATAGAGTTTAGTCGCTCTCATTTTCTAGTCAGAGAAGGGACTCATCTAACTTCAAAGGGAAAATCTCGGTCCACATTGATGATAGATCAAATCGAACGAACATCAACTAGATGGAAGCATGCGGATATCTTGATATTTAATACTGGCCACTGGTGGACACACGGGAAGACATCTAAAGGGTACATATTCCCATCTTTTATTTTAATTTCCTAGCTAGATACCTTTCCTAAAAAAAAAAAACATCCTAGCTATATACATATTTTTTTATGGATTTGTAACACCCCAGAGAGGTGCCTTGATCATATACATCAGTAAGAAGTATTATAATTTCTTTGTGATCTGTCAGGACGATATCAAGGAGAGATTTTATATACTCACTGTTTGATTCACTTGAAGTGCACGAAGTCCTTGTCCATCTTCCTCTGTAGATATATCATCAGTAAACAGTACTATATTTTCTTTTTGATCTATAGGAAGGACTACTATCAAGAAGGAGATTATATATACCCACAGTTTGACTCGCTTGAAGGATATAAGAGAGCCATGAGGACGTGGGGAAAGTGGATCGACCAAAATTTAGATCCCAAAAAGTACTTGGTCTTCTACCGTGGCTACTCAAATGCTCATTTCAGGCAAGGAGTTTATTTCATTTTCTTAAATGAAAAAGGGAAAACAGAAAGTATACAATGGTACAATGGATCATCTGAAAAAACATAGTCCATTGGGACCACAGTGGCTGTTGGTGTCTGTCACCATTGCCGCCCATGATTTCATCAAATGGTAGTGACCCCAATTGCCTGTCTTCCATGGTCCATTTGATAATAGTACATTTTGCTGGAAAAATTGAACAACCTGAACAGTTTTTTCATTGCATTTAGTCATCAATTGGTGTTAACGTAATAAACTGTGATTTTCAATGCTCATGGACTATGGTATTCTTTCCCTAAGAGATATACCGCCCCAACAGTTTTCCATTGGCCTGTAGTCATCAAATGGTAATGAGTGATGACCCCCATATGTTTTCAGTAGTCCATTAGACTACAGCATTATTTTTTGGAAAAAAGAATATATATACCCACAATCATCTCTCTCTCTCTCTCTATCTATCTAACACTTTAAACCTTTCAGAGGAGGAGACTGGGACTCAGGTGGAACATGTAATGGAGAAACTGAACCCATCTCTAGAGGAAACTACCTCGAGAACTATCCCGTAAAGATGCGAGTCATTGAGGAAGTTATCCATGAAATGAAAACTCCGGTGATTTTCTTGAATATAACGAGGTTAACAAACTACCGTAAAGATGCACACCCATCGATTTATAGCAAGACTTTAACAGCAGGACAAAGGGTTTCAAAGAGAGTGCAGGACTGTAGCCATTGGTGTCTTCCTGGTGTGCCTGATGCATGGAATGAGTTGATTTATGCAACTTTGGTTATGAATTCAAGAAGTAAAAGTGGATGAATTTTGTCTATGGTGATCATAGTTCAATGTATAAATGAAAATTCAATTTTTGAATAAGTCATTTAGATTCGTTTTTTCTCCGGAGCGAGTTAGTTGTAAGATTGGGAATTTTAGATTTTTGAGCTTCTAAAGAGGAGGATGGATGGGTCAATGAATTATCAATCCATGTGATACTGTACCATTTTCCTTTGATAGGATCTCTGTTGTAATTCAGAGTGGTGTTCAATGTCACATGAACAAATGCCATGTATGGTTCTTTATTCCTTTCTGAATGCAAACAGGAGTTGTTATCAGTATTCGGTGATGGGTGCTTTCGGTCGCAGCTGAATTTGGTAAGCATCTGGTTTGTTGGCCATGTTTGAATGATAAGCGGGAGAATTTCTCCATTCGGTGTTTCTACATGAGCTTGGTGTGTAAACCTTACGCACGAGCTTAGTACGACATGGTTTGAGGCAGCCTGGTCAAGCGTTCGAACTCTTATATATATATATAAAAGAAAACACTACGCAACGTCTATAGGCGAAAATAAACAGTGATTTCGCTTATTGCGATCACCGTCTAAAGTTCATCGTACGGTCACGATTGTTCAGTAGTATTTCATTTTTCATTTTTTTTTTACAAATCGGAATGACTTGAAATTTGGAGCGTGTATCTATAAAATTAAAAGAATCTTCAAAAATTATAAAAAAAATATTGTATATGAAAAAAATTGGCCAAAATACCCCTAAAAAGGTTTGGGGGTATTTTAGTTAATTTACGGATAATTTTTTTTATATTTTTATTAGATGCACTTCAATAAGATGTACATACCCTTCAAATTTCAGGTCATTTT